TCGCCTTTACAGAGGGTTGACATAAGAACCGTCTCCTTGAACAACATCTCGGTGCATTTTGTAAAACTGCAGTGGAAGACATTGCTCACGATGCCACTCTGCCCTTTCTCTACACAAGGGTCCGCACCCACGATAAACCCCGGCTTGTGCTTGGTTCCGGGAAGAAATTCTATTTTTGCGGATAAATTAGTTAGCATGCTTCCTGTTGTCAGGAAAGAAGACCGTAACTCCGGCTGCTCCTTTCTGCTTGGTGGCTAGATAAGAGAGAGTCGAATTTATCGTTTGAGCATTATAATCGGCTCAGCTGTGGGGTCCAAAAGCACTTCCTCCTCCCACTTCTTTTCATGGACTTATTTTATTTTATGTTCAAATGTCTCATTATACTTTTGCGAGATGTGTGAGTCTGGAAGCCATCTGGGGGAGCTCTGATTGGGCCTATTTATTGCCCATGCTGGCTGCTGGGGCTACAAAGACTCATTCGACTGCACCTGGCTTTCTAGGAGCTCGCGTTTTAGCATGGAGAGCAGCGATGGAAACAAATAATTACGAAGCAGGGCTGGTGCTCTAACAGAGGTGCGTGGGGCTGGAAGACAAAGCGGACTTGGGGACAAGGGACCAGGGGAGGTGTCATGGAGGAGGTCAAGGCCGAGCTGCTTTGGGGACTGCAGTGGGAAGAGGACGCTGATTGGCACAGTACATGTGTGTCTAAATGGGAAATTGGGCAGAGTTCTCTCTATGCATGTGGCCCCTCACGCTGGCCAGGGCAGGCCTTGACCTCTGACCCTCTGTGGACCCCACGATGCGCGCCTGGCAAGGTGTGAGGACCGTGAAGCGTGGGGTTGGAGCGCGGGCCCTGGAGCTGGTGAGCGACCTTAGGCAGGTGCGCGTCACCCCTTCGGGCTTTAACTGTACAGTGAGGGTAAGAGTGGTGTCTGCTTATGGGGTTTTAGCAGCATGACACAAGGGAAGGGAATAGAGGTAAAGGGCTTAGACTCATGCCTGGCACGTGGTCAAGACCTCAAGAAATGCCTGCTGGTCAGTCTCATCTGCATTGCTGACAGCGCTGTGCCATCGAGGGCAGCCAGGACGGCAAAGCGGGAAAGACACCGCGCTCCAGTCAGCTAGCTGACTACAGTTCAAGTCGAGTCATTTCCAAATGAAGCTTCGTTTACAAAGAACATTGTTTTATTGTTTCCTGAAGCAGCGTGAGGGTAGGCCCCCCCTTAAGTCCACCAGTAACTTATGTCTGTTGACGATGCTCTTAGAACTGGTCATTGATGTGTTTCCTAGAGGACCCCCCCCAGCTCTGGCTGTTACACCCCGAGGCTTCCTGGGCCCAGTGCCTCGCCTGCCCCACTCTGTCTTCACTGGCTTCCCTGCCCACTGACTGTCGAGAGGACCAGGGTTCTGTGGGAGGCAGTCGGTGAAGGGGAGCTGGCATGGATTTTCAGCCAGGAAAGGGGGGAGAAGTCATCACAAGAGCGCGCGTGCGCACACACACACACACACACACACACATACACACACGTGCACAAACTGGCCCCTCAATGATATTTGTCTGTGTGTCAGTGGTGTGATGTTAAATGTTTAACAACAGGCTCTATGGGGAACAAGGGCTCCGATTTATAACACTCGTCAGTTCCTTGGTGAAGCACCCCCACCATGCTGACCTCAAGCTGCCCTGGCGATGTCCTGAACATGGATTAGGAGACATGCCCAGGAAGCCACCATCAGATAGTATTTCCACGACACAGACACCGCAGAGGTCAATTACCTCCAGAGCAGAGATACAGTAAAATGCAGTAAATTAATTAGGTAGAGATGAATTTGGAGTATTTATTAACCTTTGCTTTTTCAATGTAACTTATTTAATTGCATATAATTTAATTTTTAACAACAGCTGGCTTTCACCACGGCTCCTAAGTTCCTGAAACGGTAGCAAGTGCTCTCTGACACGGACCGAGGGCCACCGCGTCTGACTCCCTTGCTCATCCGCAAGGCGCCGCGCAGCTCACCCGCCCTCGCTCCCCTGTGATACGAGGTCGCCTTACGCACATCTTCTTGGGCATTTGTCTACTTGTAGGCACAGAGCCATATTCTCATGCAAAATACATGAGAAAACATCTCCCGCTCCGACTTGCTCATGACCACCCCCTCCCCAAACAACCAACCTCACTGACGCTTTCATGAAACTGGGGTACGTGGAGGCGCGAGGGGGAAAGGACACCAAAGGGATACTTGCAATCGAGGGAACCGGCAAGTGGAGAGGGAACGAGGAAACAGAATGGAAAGGGGAAGGGAGTGTGCAAAGCGACCTGTCGCAGAGCATCGGGGTGGCCCCAGCCATCAGCCCAGCGCTAGCCCACGGTGCGGGTTAAGGCAGGAACCGGCTCTATGAACACGTGCTGTGCGGAGAGGTTTCCCTCAGTGACAGGTCCCTTCTGCACTGCCGTCACCTGGGACACACGGGCGCTGGTGGCTCTAAATCTCCAGCAGACAAGCTCCTGAGTGTGGACAGCAGCAGGCGTTTGCTCTCAAAATAGCAGCTGGGGGATGTTAACAATTCCTCTCTCAATTGGAATAGTACACTTTTAAAACAAATAGGTATTTCGAATGCTCTTAATTAGACTTCCAGCAGAAGTGCTTTCCGTTTGAAGCTGGCTGGTTCCTTGGGGCGAAGCTGAGCCCTGACACCTGCTGTCATTCAGGAGCGACTCCGGGGAGTGAGCAGGGG